AGTGGGTTCACGATGCAGGTTAGTCTATCTTAGGTCTGGTGCCAAACCTACTAAGTAAAGGTGCTTTTTTCTCTTTGAATTTAAACTTGAGACGTTAGACCTGGAGCTTTTGATAGCAGCTTTGTCACTAAGCAGGGCCTAAGAATAAAGCCAAATTGAAAGAGAGTAAAGCCAAAAAGTAAAAGGAAATTGGGTCGTTACAAAATAATTTGAGTCCTAGATCAACTGTGACTGAAGTTTGGCTTACATAAATCTGATAAATTCTCCCTATCTCCTCAAGCCAATTTAATGCTGATTTTCTATCATAGGCAACTATAACATTCCTAAGTAATGCACTTGGTCATCTGAGTTTCTCAACCCACACTAAATTAAAAGGGAGAGATAGAGAAAGAGAGAGAGAGAGAAGGAACAGCAAGAGCCATCACGTACATCCTTACTCAACATCATAGATAGGTTCTGAGACTAAGCAAAACAACGTATAATGAAACTAATTTTACTATACAATAATTGATATAAGCAAGAATTAAGTTCCTACAGTATCTCACCAAAGTTATAACAAAATAACATTATTCAAGGATCTTCTGTACTTTAGATGAACTAATAACTTATAGCTTGAAAGGTGACATGTAAAAAAAAATAATGAATTTCAAAATTTTCAAAAATTTGAAGTCTTTATGTCAAGGACTTATGCCACATGGCATCCTGGGAGACCTCCGAGTCCCAGGGAAACCAAAACAGTTGATCATGCTACTTGGAAGTATAAGGATTTTGCAATAATTTGCACAAACAAGAAGATAGGGGTCATAAGGTCATAGAGGAATGAAGGCAGGTGGTGGTGAGACTGAGGTTACTGTAGTTGTAAGGGAGAGGGTGGCAAGAGACTATCCAGAAGCACCCATAATTCTTAGGTTCTCCATTGACTTGTGGTAATGGAAATGGAATCCACTGAGAACCATCTGACTTCAAACAATAAGAGCATGGGTGGGTCGAAGTATTGGCCAACCCAATGAACAAGTGTAGGTGTAAATCTTTGGATTGGTGTAAAATATATATATAAGATGCTATGCCAGAGAGTTTCTGAATTTGAAATTTTAGGAAGGAACAATTTCACATGATAGCAAGCCCAAGGTGTGGCTACAGACGTGGTTGGGCGAGCAGTAAAAGAGGTTACTGCTTGACTTGTGGAGGTCAAAGACTGATAGGTTGTGGTGTTGGGTGTAGATATGGAGTCACTCAGACTGAGGACAGGAGAAGAAAACTGTATATCAATTCCTGGAGTGCTCAAGTGGTGAATAGATAACAGGAATGAGCAATGTTAGAGGATAGTGTAGCCAGATAACTCAAGGGAACAGGGATGAGTAAGATGGTGGAGAAATAATGATCTGGAGATGGGATATAGGTGCTTGAAGGGCATTTGACGCATCTCCAACCCGGAGATTCATGAACTATGAAATAATAAATAGTCTCCAAGAAGGAGGGGGAAGTGGGAGGTCCAGGGGAGAGTCAAGTTTCAGGACTGAGGGAAAAAAGTGGAGGTTAAGAGGAGTTTACTGTGATTAAATAGGTGTTCCAAAAGGCATGATGGAATGATTTCAAAGGAAGAATAAAGAGCAGAAGTTAGATCAGAAAGAGACAGCACAAAGGATAATAATATCTCAAGGCAAAGAGGAAAAATAAGTAGACAAATGATAAAAACGGATTTTAATCATTAGAAAATTATGTTTTTCAGGGCTAACAATATGATACGTTCCCAAACTGGTAATGTGGGAATTTAGGGAGCGCCAACAGCTCTGATAGGGGACATGGCATACCTTTTACTGCTGGGGGAAGATGTGAGTGACAGATGTGTGTCAAGGCATCATAGGGAGATGATCAAAGAGGCTGCAGCCAGGAAAGCTTATGAGTGGAAAGTCTGTGGGACTTCACAATGGTAGGGGCAGCTATGAGGAAGTTTGGCTTCAAGGAGATGCAGGGGTGGGGGGCACAGGAGGTACACGGATTTGTGCACATTGAAAGGAAATTAATTAGAAGAAATATTTTAATATCGCTATTTGCCTTTTCTCTATAATACTGTAGAAGTGTCAGAGATCAAAGAAAATTAGTAAAATGTATATGAAAATAATATATAAAATGATTAATAAATGAACAATGACAACATGATAGAACAACAAAGGCATGATATAAAAAGAACAAAAACATGATATAAAAACAAAAGCATGATATAAAAACAACATTGATAAAAACAATGACTGATAAATTGATTAAACTTATTCTAATATCTCCCTGTATACCACATTAAAAGTAAAAACACTTTCAGCGTGCTTGACTAATTTCCCCTATGATGAAGTATTTACAACTTTAACATCACACGCTCTTCGAACTCAAGAAAAAGCAACATGTGTCCAAAAACGGGTTCAGGTAGGAATATTCCTACTCTGTCTAGAGTTTGTCCTTGTGATTTATTAATAGTCATCGCAACTGCTGTCATCACAGGAAACTGTCTTCGAATTAATTTAAAAGGGAGGCCAGTGTCAGACAGGGACAAATATCGTGCATGCACAAGTCAACGTTTATTTTTAAATTGCCAGTGCGCGTCATATGTACCGGTGGTCAGTCAGTAGGACGGTCAGTCACTTAGCCTTTTATATATATAGATTAGTGGGGAAGGAATCAGTTATGGAACAAGTGGATTTGAGATGACTAGCCATTAAAAAATAGCAATTATAAAGTTAGATAACCTACTAAATTAACTTCCAAAAGGTAAAAATGTTAAATAAGAAAGGACATCAAAAGTATTTTAAAAAGTGTAGAGGAATATTTTTACAAGTGCGAAAGTCCTTCTCAAGCTTAATAAAGTCAGAATGCAAGAAGAAATTGATAGAAGTTTTGACATCGATCAAATTTAAGTATACTGCAAAGCAGTGTGCACCAAATAGTTAATGGCAAAAATCAACTGATTCAAAAATTGCAACGTAATAGATACACAGAGTTAATATCCTTATGAATAAAAGGCTCTTGAAACAAATAAACAAAAAAGGATTAAAAATAGGCAAAGAATATAGAAAAGCAACTCATAAAAGTAAATCCAAAATATCTGTTAAACATTTTGGCCAACTAAAACTATTCAGCCTCATTAACAACCGAAGAAATAAAAATAAGAGCTTTCTTTCCTCCCTGATTTCTAAATTTTAAAATTTTGACACAGTCTTACTATGTTAATAAAAATGGTATTTTGAGTAGTAATAGCTATAGGACTTCTGAAAAAAAATTGCAGAATGTATCACAAATCTTTAAAAAGTGAATATGCTCTTACATAGCAATTCTATGGAAATTTATTCAAAGAAAATAATCAAATAGGTCTGTACAGTGTATAAAATTATGAATAGTTATCTACTATGATATTGTTTGTAAAACCAAATTTGGAGAAATTTTGCATGCTTGCCAAAAGAAATTAGTTAAAAATTTAATAGAACACTATAACAGCCATTAAAAGTATGATTTCCTATGAAAGATATATTAAGATGATTTCTTCATTGGGAAATGGAGCATATCTATGATATTACTTTTGTTTTTTTAAAAAAACTACAGATAAAGCAAAGAATTTTATAATTAATGGTGAAAATAAATATAGGTGAACTTATTTTCTTAATACAATTCTGAAATTTCTGATTATCATTGACCAGCAGGGGACATACTAACAGAAGACAAACAGGGTTTTCAAAATGCTGGTCTTAACCAACCCTGACTCAGAACCTACCCCATTACTTCTTGTGACCTTATGGCCGTTAGATCTCATTTTAATAATCCGAATTCCGAGTTTTGGAATAGTAAATCCCAGAACCATTTTTTAAAATGTGTAGCAAGCAATGTCAATGAAGACGAAGGCATCTTGGATTTTGAATCTATATGCATACAAAGCGAAATGCAATACTCAAAGTAAATCTAATCCAATACTTTTTCAGTATCCAAAGCATTAATATAAGTTTTCGGGGTTTTTTGTTTTGCTCCCCCCCCCCCCCCACCCCCCAGGTGAATGTTTAAAGTGGTCGTCAGGCTCACATCTCCTCTCCACCTTCCAGTCCGGTACAGACTCTAACAACACCTGCAGAGTTGGGGTTTCTTCCTTTATATATTTTTAAATGTTTCCCGGGGGCCCCCACTCAGGCCAAGCGCTTTTCCAAAAGGAACCGGGTTGGGCTGCGCTCGGAGGATGAGCTCTGGGAAGATGGGGCTGGCGGGTCCGGCTCAGCCTCCCTCGGCAGGAATCGCCAGCCCCAGCCAGGGCAGCGGGGCCAGAACCTTCATCCCCCTCACCCACCCCCACCCGGGCGGCACTTTCAGGAGCTCCCCCGGGGGCAGCAGCCGCCAGGACCCAAGCCCCCCGCTCTCCCGAGCCTCTGCGGCCACGTTACATTCGCGTGTCCCCCTGGCGCCGGCCGGAGTCCCACGCTCCGGGGACATCCGCCGCTGCCGGGGACCCTTGGGATCATCGGCCTAATCATCCCCAGGTTTCATCGAAGAAGGGACGGACCCCGCTGGGGAAGGTGACCCGGCTAAAGACACGCCGGTCTGCTCCCCCCGCAGGCGCGAGCAGCTGCCCGGGGTGGCCACGCGCAACCCACGGAAACCGGCGTGGCCTCGCCTGCGCGGGGGGCGAGGGGCTCAGCAACTTAGGGCAGGAGGTCACCGGTGTTCGTCCACCTCCAGGTCCGAGCGGGCACGCAGCAGGTGGCCAGACCTCCCCGGTTATGTTCCTGGACCCGAGCGCCCCCTTTCACTCTAAAAGTGCCCTGGTTTGCCTGTGAATGGTGTGGTCCCCGAAGCAAAGGGGGCATCGGCTGGAACCCCCTCCCGCCCCCCGTGCCGGTGCCGACGGGCGCAACATGGGAAAGTTGCACTCACCACCTTTCCGCTGGCTCCGTCTCCCCCCGACTCCCCAATCCTTTCCCTCCACCCGCACCCGGGACACCCACCCCGCCGCCCCTCCGCCGGGTACGCACCAGCTGCGCGCGGAGCCGCCCGCCGAGCCGGGGCCAGGTGTCCTCCTGCGCGCGGGCTGGTCCAGCCTCGGTGGCCGGGGGCTGCGGCGCGGGCTCCAGCGCTGCGGCCTGCACAGCCCGGGGGATGCGGCGCGTCTGACCTGTGAGCTTGCGGCCAGGCGGCGGCGGGATGACTCGGGGCGGAGGGAGCGGCCGGGGGACCCG